CCGATCTGCATTTCTGCAGTTTGGGAGTTTGGTGGTTAGGGATGGGGGTTTAGGGATTGCGGGTTTAGGGATGCAGGGTTTCGGCTTCGGGGTTTTGGATCTAGGAGTTTGTGTTCAGGGTTGTGGTGTTGGTTCAGGTTGCTGACGTGTCGGCTTGTCGGTGATCGCTTGCAAGATGCACTGGCGATGGCATCTATGAAGATGAAGAGGGTGATGAGGAGGACGAGATGCGTGAGGAACAGGATGAGGAAGAAGATGATGATGAACAACAACAACAACAACAACAACAACAACAACAACGACAACAACAACAATAACATGATGATGTTAAGGTGAGGAGGAGGAAAAGGAGGAGGAGGGGTCCAAGAATGCCACGATGCTGAGGATGTTGATGCTTTCATGGTTGCTTCGGAATAAAACACTCACGGCAATGTTGATAGCCTTGACGATGCTTCCTCTGCTGGTGCTGGTGGCTTTGCTGTGCTGCAACATTGCAACAGCAAGTAGCAAGGATGAGACTAGCAACTGCAAGCACCTGGCCAACAGCAGCAGGGCAGACAGCAAGAGCAAAACAACCCTTCACGAGACTGACGAAGCCATGATGAAGCCTGGATCAGGGCCGAATCAGCCCAATTCCATGAGTTGGCTTAAACATACGGCCGGACCCTCAACAGCTTTGAATGGCTTTGATCAACAACCCTTAACCAGCTTTGACTGCACTTAGAGGAAGATACGGACACCTTCAGTCATGACCCCATTGTCATAGTATTCCACACTATAGAATACCCCAAACCGATTATTCTTGCATACTGCAGTCTCATGATAGTCCCTTTTGTAGTACAGTGTGGTATGTTGTCTTAACGCCCTCCCATATTCGTTTTGTCCCAGACCTCAGGATTCTGCTCCAGCCTGCGGCCTTTGCACGCGACGTGAGCTATGTAACCAGGCAAAAATGGAAGGAGGGACCTTGCGATTAGGGAGTCCGGGGTTTAGGGTGGAGGGTTTAGGTTTTAGAGTTGAGGATTTTGGGTTCAAGGAGTTCATGGGCTTCGGGTTCAGAGTGTTCAGATTGATTGGCTATGGGGTTTCAGTTTAGGGCTTCAGCTTGATCGGGTTGACAGGGTTAGATACCTCAGGTTGAAGAGTTGGGAGTCAGGGTTCCTAGCTTGGCTGTGTAAGCTGTAGGTTTAATTCTGGGAGGGTGCATGTCGCACAAGGAAAATTTCGTGTACCTGGTCCTTTGAGGGAAGTTGTCCTGCTAACCCCTTCCAGGGTCGTCAAAACCTCCAAAATTCCACCCTGCAGAAATCCCTGCAAGCTCCCATTGAAATAGATCTTGTAAGATCCGGGTGAAGCATCAGAATCCAAGAACATGAAGTCCTGTAAGATCCCTAAACCCTAAACCCTAAAGCCTAAAGCCTAAACCCTAAGTCCTAAACCCTAAACCCTAAACCCTAAACCCTAAACCCTAAACCCTACAAAGCTTCTGAGGCAAGCTGGCAGTCCTTCGTGGAGTGTCGAGCTCTGGAGAACCAGGTGCGCAGATGGCTTTGTGTGCAGTGGTTTTAAGTATAGGGGCCTAAATAAATAGAATAGGGTTTAGGGTTTAGGGTTTACTATAGTATTTTGGGGGTTCTATATTATGATTTTGGCATAATGGGCCCCTAGAGCCTATTCTAACTATTAAGGCCCCTCTACTAGGATGTTCAGTATCTTTTTTTACTTTTTTGGGGTATTGGTTCCTGACATAAGATAACTAACCCAAAAAAGTATATACTTTTCCCAGTTGGTTATTGAACAGCTTAGTATATTAGGCTCTGATCATAGTAAATTGTCAGCTGTAGTATATTGCAGTATACAATGATGTGTCTACAGCATATTTCAATATTATTTTGTGTATTATAGTTTGTTCTGGTATAGCAAGGCCTTTTGGATTCCCCGCTTAGGTTAGTGGGATTACTGTCGAGCTAGTTCAATGGCTAGGTTTGAGCCTTTGTGAGTGTGACTTGGCTGTCTACCAAAACCCCTGCCCCTGCACGCGTAAACCCCGCCCCTCCTGCCTCAGTGAGCCCTATACTTACGGCCCCCACTGCCTTCACGTAGCTCACTCTCTGAAAGAGGTCTACTGGGCCGGCGTTAACTATGCTGGGTCGTACTTCGGAGGCGGCTTTGCCGCACAGGAGGTTTTGGATTTTGGTATGGAGTGGTTCTGACTGGAGTTCCGTGTTCATCAACTTCATAAAGCAGCCCCGGCGTCAGTAATCAAGTACGGTAGCCAGCCCCCCCGTCCCCTCAGTTATCCATTTTGCCGTACATGTTGCGCACCTCCAAATCGAGCCGGCCTGAAGCGGCTGTAGTTTCCAGCCGATTCACCGAACATTTGAAGCTTGAAGGTTCTCAGCCGAGTTTTGCTGACAGGAATCTTGAATTCACGACGGACCGGCTTGAAACTGAAGCCTCAAGCCATTTCAAGCCATTCGTCGCTGAATTCAAGTTCCCCCCCGCAAGATTGCCCCTCAGATCTTCCATATTCAGGGATCCGGCTGGAATCTCCAGCCGTTTCAAGCCACTGACCCCTGAGTCGAAGATTCCTGTAAGAATTTCCCAGAAGTCTTCAATCTTCAACCTTCGGTGACGCGGCTTGAAACTCAAGCCGTTGCAAGCCATTTCAAGCCGACCACCCCTGAATCGAACCTAGGGCGTCAATGGCCTGTCACATCGGGTTTTTTGGAAACCCAAAACCCCAGACCCCCAAACCAGCAAACCGTAAAGCCTTACTAACTTAAGGCCCTAAAACCCACATGCAAAACCTTGCAACGTGCGCACCAAAACAAGATCCTTCGAACGACATACTCTGAAGCTTGAATCTTAAACCCGTAAGCCACCCCCGAGACCCCGCCTCATAGACCTATACCCCAAACCCTACCACGCAAAGCCCTGAACTGACCCGACAACCGCAAAGCCTAATATAGAAGCCTCAACAATTGCCAAGATTATCTTGGGGGTTCCTGAATATATAACGAAACACCCCGAGAGCTCTATTCTAATCATAAAGGTTCCTATGTAAAACCTTATCGTAACCCCTTTATAGGAACCCGATTCTAGCTTATCGAGACCCCTTAAGCTTCTAATTCCCAAGGGCCCCTAACCCCTAAACCCCTAAAC